TAATATGCCATTTAGCAGACGCTTTTATCCAAAGCGACTTACAGTCGTGCGTGCATAAATGTTTGTGTATGGGTGGTCCCGGGATCGAACCCACTACCTTGGCGTTACAAGCGCCGTGCTCTACCAGCTGAGCTACAGAGGAGTGGGCCAAAATCCCTGCTGCAGTGTGTGCAAACCTGGTCAAGACCTACAGGAAACATATGATCTCTGTAATTGCAAACAAAGGTTTCTGTACCAAATATTATGTTCTGCTTTTCTGATGTATCAAATACTTATGTCATGCAATAAAATGCAAATTAATTACTTAAAAATCATACAATGTGATTTTCTGGATTTTTGTTTTTTTGAAGTGTACCTATGATAAAAATTACAGACCTCTACATGCTTTGTAAGTAGGAAAACCTGCAAAATCGGCAGTGTATCAAATACTTGTTCTCCCCACTGTATAACTTACAAGTAATACATACTGTAGTGTAACCATCATCCATGTACATTGTTGTTTATTTATTAGCCATTATTTTTTGTAATCTTATTTTTATTTAATTACATTTATTGAACGAAGATTACACAGTACAACAGCTGTAGTGTTGTAACTGTATTCATGATTATATGTACTATTATTATTCATACTGAAATGAACAGTATTTTTATTATCCTCATTGCATTGTACTGCATTTACTGAAATGCTCTACCACTATACTGCTTTGTCAATATGTATAATGAAGCAATCTGAATTTGGAAGAGAGAAAAAGAGAGAGAGAGAGAGAGAGAGAGAGAGAGAGAGAGAGAGAGAGAGAGAGAGAGTGAGTGAGAGAGTGTGTGAGAGTGAGAGTGAGAGAGAGGCAGAGAGAGAGAGGCAGAGAGAGAGAGGCAGAGAGAGAGAGAGAGAGAGAGGTGCAGTGAGAGAGGCAGTGAGAGAGGCAGAGAGACAGGCAGAGACAGAGAGACAGAGAGAGATACAGAGAGGCAGAGACAGAGAGAGAGATTCCCTCAGATTACACAGGCCCACAAAGAATTTGAAAACAAACCCAATTTTGATAAACTCCCATATCTATTGGGTGAAATACCACAGTGTGCCATCATAGCAGCAAGATTTGTGACCTGTTGCCACAAGAAAAGGGCAACCAGTGAAGAACAAACACCATTGTAAATACAACCCATATTTATGTTTATTTAATTTTCCCTTTTGTACTTTAACTATTTGCACATCGTTATAACACATAGACATAATATGACATTTGAAATGTCTTTATCCTTTTGGTACTTTTGTGAGTGTAATGTTTACTGTTCATTTTTTTGTTTGTTTATTTCACTTGCTTTGGCAATGTAAACATATGTTTCCCATACCAATAAAGCCCTTAAATTGAATTGAAATTGAATTGAGAGAAGTACAGGGAAAGAGAGAGAGGCACAGGGAGGGAGAGAGAGAGAGAGACACAGGGAGGGAGAGAGAGAGAGAGAGAGCGAGAGAGAGAGAGAGAGAGACACAGTGAGAGAGAGAGAGACACAGGGAGAGAGAGAGAGAGACACAGGGAGAGAGAGAGAGAGAGAGACACAGGGAGAGAGAGAGAGAGAGAGAGAGAGAGAGAGAGAGAGAGAGAGAGAGAGAGAGAGAGAGAGAGAGTGAGCGAGGCACAGGGAAACACTGCAGCCCGACACCGACATCTCAGCCAAGAATCTCAATGTGTCTGATCCCTCTCCCCATTCTCTCTCTCTAGCGTGCACACACACACACCAACAATACAGTCAGTCAGTCACACTCTCCATTCTCTCCCTCTAACACACAGTCAGTAACAACACACTGACTTTTTCCCCTAACGCCACCAAACAAAACAAGTTGTCTCCTCGACAGCTGAATGCAGCCCTCCTCCTCCACACAACTTTCCCTCTCTCTCTCTCTCCCTCCCTCCCTCGCTCTGTCTACAAAAGCCTCCCCAACCCACAGGAGAACAGAGAAACCTGAAAGTTCATTAAAGCTAATATCACTTATATTACACAACTGAGTCAACATAGTGTTGAAAAAGACTGGATATTTAGGGTTAAAGGTTTTCTCTCTCTAGAGCCCGTCTCTCTTGGCTTTCCCCAGCTCAGTTTATCTGCCTTGGGCCCCCACAGATACAGTTGAAGTCGGAAGTTTACATACACCTTAGCCAAATACATTTAAACTCAGTTTTTCACAATTCCTGACATTTAATCCTAGTAATAATTCCCTGTTTTAGGTCAGTTAGGATCACCACTTCATTTTTAGAATTTGAAATGTCAGAATAATAATAGAGAGAATTATTTATTTCAGCTTTTATTTCTTTCATCACATTCCCAGTGGGTCAGAAGTTACACTCAATTAGTATTTGGTAGCATTGCCTTTAAATTGTTTAACTTGGGTCAAACGTTTCGGGTAGCCTTCCACAAGCTTCCCACAATAAGTTGGGTGAATTTTGGCCCATTCCTCCTGACAGAGCTGGTGTAACTGAGTCAGGTTTGTAGGCCTCCTTGCTCGCACACGCTTTTTCAGTTCTGCCCACAAATTTTCTATTGGATTGAGGTCAGGGCTTTGTGATGGCCACTCCAATACCTTGATTTTGTTGTCCTTAAGCCATTTTGCCACAACTTTGGAAGTATTCATGGGGTCATTGTCCATTTGGAAGTCCCATTTGTGACCAAGCTTTAACTTCCTGACTGATGTCTTGAGATGTTGCTTCAATATATCAACATAATTTTCCTTCCTCATGATGCCATCTATTTTGTGAAGTGCACCAGTCCCTCCTGCAGCAAAGCACCCACACAGCATGATGCTGCCACCCCCGTGCTTCACGGTTGGGATGGTGTTCTTCGGCTTGCAAGCCATCACCTTTTTCCTCCAAACATAACGATGGTCATTATGGCCAAACAGTTATATTTTTGATTCATCAGACCAGAGGACATTTCTCCAAAAAGTACGATCTTTGTCCCCATGCAGTTGCAAACCGTAGTCTGCCTTTTTTATGGCGGTTTTGGAGCAGTGGCTTCTTCCTTGCTGAGCGGCCTTTCAGGTTATGTCGATATAGGACTCATTTTACTGTGGACATAGATACTTTTGTACCCGTTTCCTCCAGCATCTTCACAAGGTCCTTTGCTGTTGTTCTGGGATTGATTTGCACTTTTCGCACCAAAGTACGTTCATCTCTAGGAGACGCATCTCCTTCCTGAGCGGTATGACGGCTGCGTGGTCCCATGGTGTTTATACTTGCCTACTACTGTTTGTACAGATGAACGTGGTGCCTTCAGGCATTTGGAAATTGCTCCCAAGGTCTACAAAAAACATTCTGAGGTCTTGGCTGATTTCTTTTCATTTTCGCATGATGTCAAGCAAAGAGGCACTGAGTTTGAAGGTAGGCCTTGAAATACATCCACAAGTACACCTCCAATTGAGTCAAATGATGTCAATTAGCCTATCAGAAGCTTCTAAAGCCATGACATCATTTTCTGGAATTTTCCAAACTGTTTAAAGGCACAGTCAACTTAGTGTATGTAAACTTCTGACCCACTGGAATTGTGATACAGTGAATTATAAGTGAAATAATCTGTCTGTAAACAATTGTTGGAAAAATTACTTGTGTCATGCACAAAGTAGATGTCCTAACCGACTTGCCAAAACTATAGTTTGTTAACAAGATATTTGTGGAGTGGTTGAAAAACAAGTTTTAATGACTCCAACCTAAGTGTATGTAAACTTCCGACTTCAACTCAGGGAAGGAGAGGAAATGATAGAAAGGGATGGAAGGAGGTAGGAAACGAGAGAGGATGGTAGGAAATGAGAGAGGATGGTAGGAAACGAGAGAGGATGGAAGGAAACGAGAGAGGATGGTAGGAAACGAGAGAGGATGGTAGGAAACGAGAGAGGATGGTAGGAAACGAGAGAGGATGGTAGGAAACGAGAGAGGATGGTAGGAAAAGAGAGAGGATGGTAGGAAAAGAGAGAGAATGGTAGGAAAAGAGAGAGGATGGTAGGAAAAGAGAGAGGATGGTAGGAAAAGAGAGAGGGATGGAGGGAGGAGGGCTTGTGTTCCAACTGTCCCAATCTGTATCATATCAGGGGAAGCTGGGAGCCCCTGGGTAGAATACTCATTAGGGTGGGTCAAGGTTTGGAATGGGCTTTTGACAGGAAATCACCAGAATAAAAAATTAATCTGATTTGGAATCTCTTGGGAGCCTCTTTGGATTGTCTGAGCAACACTCTAAGAATTTAAACTTCCATATTCCTCTCCTTGTCTTTCTACACACCATCTAGCCCTTTCAACACAGGAACCTTTAATGGTGCGTCAGGCGAGGGAGACAGGAAAATATATTGTGTGGGGGGGGGGGGGGTCAAGATAATCTCAGAGCGTTTCCTCCTGGGCCTCTCAGGATCTCAGGATGGGTCTAGGACAGGAAGAGGCCTATTAGCTGGACCGCTTCTCCCAGAGGCCCTTGCTCTGATGCATTTCTGGGTGGAGATGACAGGGTATTTTGTTGTTATCTCCTGAACACACGGTGAACCCCAGCCCTGACCTCTGCCTCAGGGGTGGTGTCATTTCCTGTTTACATTTCTAAACGTATCCACCGAAAGCTCTCTCCAATACACCTCTCCAAGTACTAAAACCAAAAATAGAATAGTAGCAACACCTAAAACGGAAGGTAGTTTTCCAACCTAAAAACACACCTGGGCTTCAGTACTTAGATTAATAGGAAGAGAATCTGTCATGTTCTATTGTCTGAGTTTGTAGCCATGATGAGCCTCCCTACAGATATGTTTGTGCTTTTGCCAAATGTTCTCTGCAGTGTTCTTTTCTTATTATGCCAAATGTGCTGCATGGCATGACAACAATAGTTAGAAGAGTTGGCTAAAGCCTAATCAGATCTGGGACTATACTGAAGCTGAAGGGTTAAACTATGTAAAATCAGCTTCCTGATTTGGAAACAGGACATCTCCTGTCCTGAGGTCAGTTTATTGTTTATTGGGATGTCTTGTTGGTGTTTCTCACCTGCATGGTCTCCTGTAGACTCTGGACCTCAGCGGTCAACTCCTGACGCTCCACTAGCAGATGCTTCAACACATCTGACAGAGGGAGGGGAGGGGAGAAAAAGGAGAAAGAGAGTAAGCGCGAGAGAGGGGGGAGGAGAGAAAGATGCATTTGGAAGTAGACATTCACATAATTCAGAGGTATGAGATCATGCATTTCATACTGGGGGATTATTTTAGGCATTGCTATAAAGAGGGAGTGGTAATGTTTATGTACAGTATGTGCTGCTCTTACCCGCGCTGTTCAGTGTTGCATACTGACTGGGACTGAGACCCAGTGCTGTCCTACACTCCTCCACCAGTCTCTCAATCTCTCCCTGGTTGTCTGTAGCCCCATGGTGCTCCAGTGTAGTCAGGCTCAGCCCACTGTCCTTCTCCTTCCCGCTCTGCCCCGAGGGGCTGACCAGGCTAACCGGGCTGGCCGAGGACAGGGAGCTACCCAGGGATGAAGGACTCTTGGTGGGGCTCATCGTTGAGCTCTTCCCCTGGGGTACAGGGATCCTGGGACTAGACCTGGTGGGGCCTCCATTACGCCCCATCACAACCCACCCTTCAGGCACTGCTGCATTACTTCCTGTCCTTCCTTGCAGGGAGATAAACCCAGGACCAATCACAGAGTAGCCTGGGCTGATGGGCAGGGGTCTCTTCCCACTTAGGGCTGGAGCTAAGGCTGGGGCTGTGACTGGTGTTGGGCCTGGAGCTGGGGCTAGGGCTAGGGCTGTGACTGGTGCTGGGACCGCCAGCTGGCCTGGTATAGAGGGTGTGATCGGAGTGAGACCAGGCAGGGTGGTGGTCACTGGAGAAGTAGGAGGGGTTTGGAACAAATCCAAGTTGGGCCCTGGAGAGCATAAGAGCAACAACGCACGAGTGTGAGGGTGAGTGAGGTACACAGACAGACAGTCAGAGAGACAGGCAGACTGACAAAGAGAGTGTGAGAGATTGAGTGCAGTGGTCACTGGTTGGGCATGCAGAGCTGCCAGGATGACTAAACCAGACCATTAACCCCGCACAATACCCAGGCTGTCATTCTCAGGATGAATGGGCCATTGCTCATCAGGAGACACATTCCTCTGCTCTGTGCTGCTGATCTACACCACCACTGACCCTAAGTCCTCCTATGTCCTTGGCTTGAACAGATTTACTCTAGGTTTAATGGATATTTTCACTGATAGAGTTAAACTAAACAAGTTATGGAAAGTGATGCATCATGATCAGGTAAATATCAATACAGAGTGACGGGCCATAACTCCCCACTTCCACCGCTGCCTTTTGTTCACCTATTCCAAGCCATAATGTGCTAGTGTGTGTGTGTGTCTGCCAGCATTAGGCTTGCCATGATTAATCCGTTGCCCTTGTGCAGAGCTGAGGAATTCTGCCGATTCATCACAGCTGGGGCAGCAGAGCCTGACGAATCACAAGAGGACGCGAGGAGAATGACCACCGAGCAGCACACACACAGGAGCCAAGCCAAGCTTCCTACCCTCTGGCTCACACACACACACACTTTGTCTCTCTGCATCCATCTCTCCCTTTGTGTTCCCCAATCTCCTGTCTCTTCCCCTCTCCCTGTCTCATTCCTTCACTCTATTCATGTCAGTCTCTGTCCATCCCCCCTCCTTTCGGTCTTTCCACCGTCGACTAAAAGCTGAAATATGTATGCGAGTCTCAGGGTATGTTGTCTGTGTTCTCTGTAAGAAAAGTCAAAGACTTCAGAGACTGTTCAGCACAGCAGGAGGGTTGACAGCTTAATTAAGTGAGTTGTGTGTATTGTTGGGGGGCAGAGGGTACCTGTGGGTCCATGGCCATCCTTGCTGGAGAAGTTACCCATGATGCAGTGGGAAAGTGGGCAACACACCAGTGGCTCTCTCAGTCAGGACAGAGCAGAGGCTGCAGAGGAGACCTGCACACAACAATCAGTAGGATTAATCTCCAATATGACACTGCACAAGTATGTAATATTCCACAAGGGAAATGATGCACCAATGAATAGCACATCACTTCTCTAATCATACACATAGCACTCAGTGGCATAACGCAGTTTTGAGGGGCCCCCACAAGGTCTGGGGGGGAAAAGAGCAAACTTCCAACAGTTGTACACATTTGGCCATGGGGCAAAAAGAAAAATGTGCAGTTACATAGCTAATATCATGCCATTCTACACATTTTGGCATGAGGCTGAGAGAAAATGTTGCAGTTTTGTTTTTTGGCGGGGGTTGCAGGGTGTGTGGTAAGCCAGTGATAGTGCTTCTCTAATCACTCTAGATATGATTAGAGAAGTGCTATGGAAAAAGGCTACTTTGTTTCACATGCAAACCAATCACTTGACCCTGACCCTCTAGTCTAGCATATTGTATGCCCAGTAAGAGAGACTGTGCATCCAGACTAAACATTACACACCCTAGAAACTACACAATGTTCATTTGAATGTTCATTTGAATTTGGTGTAGTACCTGTGGTGTAAATCAAAGCCTACAACCAAATAAACCACATTTTAGTGAGAGGGATAGACCAGGAGACAATAGAATCCCACAACTTCTTATCATTAGCACAGATGACAAACTATATAATGTCCAAGGTACATTTGCATACATTTTAATTATAGAAGACACTAGATGTAAAGACTATTTACATTAGTAGTAATAATAAATCAGTGCTGGTATCCTAGGTTAGGTCGTCTAATCATGTCAGTGAGATCAGTCCAAAAAAGCCTGCCAATACATGAGGCGCTGGTGGTCCTCAATCCAAATTTGTAGCTGACTAATGATGGAGATCACTCAAACCTGAGTGGCTTTGGGTGTTTGCATTGTTCTCACATGTTAAATTAACACGAAGGCCTTTAATCAAGATCTAAATTGGATGATTGATAACCGAACGAAGTGTCATGCATGTAGCCCTACACTTACAGAACCGCACCTTCCCCTAATTAATGTAGCCTACAGGCGCAACTCAAGTCGTCCCATAAAAAATATTTATTCTGAAACATACCTATTTATCCAAGGAATTAGAGGAGCAAACATTGTTCAAAAAACACAAAACCCGTTTCAAAGAAGTTGGCTGAGATGTTCTTTCTTTCCAAACAGTGACGCATGCAACAAGCTTTTTACTCAGCGAAAAAAAGTAACTGTACACAACCTTTAAAGTAGAATAATTTCTTTTTTAATCGCTTTCTTTTCCTCCTCGTGGAAATATAATCCGTTTGTTGTCCTATCTTCCCGCTGTAGCCTACCGCGCATTGGATCCGTCTTTGTCAATGCGGTGGGGTTGGCGGGGTTTGCGCACCACGAAAGAGTCGGGATGAAGTAGCCAAGTGCACCAACTCCGCTTGTTCTCGGTGGAGTAGACATATAAACTCCTGTTTCTCTCATGAAAACCCCCAATATGTCATGTGATTATTATTTTATAACAGAACTGAATGCATCTTTATCGTTATCAACTTTACACAGGCCTAAATTTCTCTAACTTTGATCCATTCTTCTCTCAATTCTGGCCTTGGCCACTAGGGTGCATAGTTGGGCTGTCCTATGGTATGCAACCTTACAGATGGAATTATAGTCAAAGACAGTACAGTATGCTGATAGCTAGCTAATCTCATACTCGGGTATAATGGTCGCCATGCGCCAAACTGCGCATGTGCAAGCCGTCAAATCAAAGGCACTCCTTCAATATAAAGTCGTGTTTGACGAAAATGAAAACGTGTCAGTTTTTCACTTTCACGAGGCTGGAGTAATGACATGTTCAACTACTTTGGCACGAATCTAAGTTGTGCCTTTAGATTTCGAGAAAATTAAGACCTAAGGAAGAATTTTTCACTCATTGACTTCTCAAACCCCGGACTGGTCTGCTTCTCAAGCGTTCCCGGAAGTCTTGCGATGTTGCGCCTCTGGGTTTAGAAACTCTGTGTTATAGCCTTTTGAGGTGTCAACTATTTTTGATCTAGTGGTATCTTATTAGGCTTTCAGGTGTACACTCATATAAAGTGAAACATATTGATTAATCCAGGGGTAGGGGTAGGGGTAGGCCTGCGCCTGTAAGGTTGGCCCAGCAGTAGGCTTGAAAGCGTTGGAATGGAGGCAGCAGTGGCCTTACATCATTGGTTTGTTTCATAGAAAATATGCAAAGTTCCAGGTCTCTATGGGAATTAGGCTATTTACAGTGCCTGACAAAAAATACAAAATAAAATAAATAACATGTAGCTCAATTGGTAGAGCATGGCGCTTGTAACGCCAGGGTAGTGTGTTCGATCCCCGGGACCACCCATACGTAAAAATGTATGCACACATGACTGTAAGTCGCTTTGGATAAAAGCGTCTGCTAAATGGCATATTATATTATTATTATATTATATATGATACAAACTTGAAAAAACAAACTTGGTTTAGACTACGCCAACTTGGCTTGGGCCCTAAAAAGTGTTAGCCTCGTATGAACCATCCTGCTCTCGCGAAACAAAATGTATGTTTGCGAGATCAGGATGGTCATTCCATGTGTTCTGCTCCACCCATTACCACAAGCCCATCCTCCCCAATTAAGGTGCCACCAACCTCCTGTGGTTTGATACCCTGGAAGGCTGGAACCTCTCCAGTCTCTCTGTCCTTGGAATCTCCCAATTCAGGTTTGCAACTTGGACAGATGGAGATTCGGACAGGTGAGTTGAATGGCAACAGAACCATAATTCTGATTTCAGAAGCTACAGTTTCCATTAAGTTTCCATTAAGTGTTTCAGTGAATTTTAAAGTCAACATTTAGAGTTTGCATAGAAAATAGATGTGACAATTGCCTGCTAGGATGCGTTTCCATTTAACTTTCTTGTGTTGATAAAAACCAATGGTGTGCAGCCAGCAATTCGGGGCCTTCCTGCATTTGGGCATTCCTGCATCTGTAGGAACGCCCCCACTCGAGATTCCCATTGATTCCTGCATGAACGCCTCCCCTCGAGCACCCAATTGGTTCCTTCATGAATTTTTCTAAGTAGTTCATTGTATAGTCAGCGCGTTAACTTTTCAACTGTGCTCCAAATCGGAGCATCTGCGCCTGCAATTTAACATCACGAGCAGAACCTCTATCATTGTCCTGTCTTGCCACAGCACTGTGAACCGTGGCACATTGAAGCATATGATTGGTCTAGTTATTTAAGGAATCAAGGGGATTGGATGAATGTTTTAAATAAACGCCCCTCAAGATTAGATTGGAGCTGAATTGAGAGAGAGAACGTTCTCCGCTGAGTTTATAAAACTGTAAAAAGAGTAGCATGGCAGCGCTGTTTTATGTACAATGTTGTCAACAAAATTAGGTTGCTTTGACTCCCATCTCTATTGAAGAATGCAGCCTTTTGACAGCATGTACTAAAGTCGATTTAATCCACACTTGCATTAGTCCCCTCGTTTGGTGATTGGAATTTAGGCTGTGACAACGAAAAGGCAGCAGACAGACCTACAGTATGTATTTGGCATGGATGTTTGGTAGGGTGACATGATTTGTCACTATGAAAATAATTTTGTCAAACAGATTGTGAACCCAAAAGTGTACGTTTGATTCTAGTAGGGGGACAATAAACATACAAATAATTTTGTTAGGGTGTAGGGGCATATTTATGTCATTTTGTCTTCAGGAGATTTTATTATACATTTTATTTAGTCTAATCAGTGAAACAATTCTCATTCTTAACAATGGGCTAAAATATAGGGTAATTACTGTGCTTGTCAGCAGGAACAATAACCACACTTATTGTATTATTCCACTTCTTCCCAATTTTGCCAGTGTAATCACATATTTAAAATATCATATGTCTACTTGTCTTTGAAAATGAATTATATGAGGCTATGTATTTTTGCAGCCATTCATTGACCGTTTTGAATAAGTCATACAAATAAGGACTGGATATTAAATGCTCCAGGAATCAAATATAATGTTTTACATTTTAGTATTGTGCACATTCTAGGCAACTCATAAAAGCATCATATTTTGTCTATGTAGAGTAAGATGATGGCAGGGCTCTTCAACTAGTAGGCATAAACCACCTGAATATTGATATTCATTAGATTTTTCTTGAAGGTTTGGTGATTTTGAGAAATTGTTATAAGAACATTTTCAAACACCCAGCACTTGGGAAACATAGATCAGGGGTGGCAGAAGATATCTCAGTTCCAAGGTCTCCGCTTAGAGAGAAGAATCCTCGTGAGGTATTGGTCTGTCACATGTTATGAACCAGTATTGGTCGGTCACATGAATGAAACAAAATGCTAATGATTAATTAATTATGCTAAATCATATAACTTGTCTGTGTATAGCCGTATATAAGACAACTGCTGGGACTACCCCAGCCGAGCTCCTGGTCGACATGTGTACATCTGGTGCATTGAGTTGGTTGGAACCTCTCCAGCGCGCTGACAATAAAGGATGATTAATTTAAGATTGACTTAGAGTGTCCCTAGTGGTAATTTCCACGACATGGTGTAGAATTTCCATGACACAGTGTCACTGCCGCCTGCTGTGTACCGGAGTCCTCCTTAGGACTAGCTGGCTA